GAGGGGGAGAGAGGGGAAGGGAGGGAGGGGGAGAGAGAAAGAGAAGGAAAGAGAAGGAAAGAGAGAGAAAAAGAGAGAGAAAGAGAGAGAGAGAGAGAGAGAGAGAGAGAGAGAGAGAGAGAGAGAATGAATATCCCAAGCAGGCTTCGTGCCACCAGTGCAGAGCCCTGCGCTGGACTCAAACTCACCTGCTCATCTGCTCAAATGACCTGAGCAGAAACCAAGATCCAGACACTCAACCAACTGAGCCACCCAGGTGGCCCTAGGAGTTCAGTGACCTTCTAAAGCCAATCCATAAAACTCTAGGTGACCATGGATCCCAAATTAAGACCTTCTACATTACATGCCAAAAATGTGTGTTTCAACAGAATTTTTGGTATTATTTTTATCAGAATGACCTCTAAAGATTCTTAAATAATGATAAACTAGGGAACACTATAAATGCAAAATAAAAATGATGGCTGGTGTAATCCTAATGAATATACTTTAGATGAAGTGAATTTGGATATTACATCTAAGAAAAAAGGGTAGCAAAAGACAAAAATTAAAGAGATATTCTGCAAATTCTTTAAAAGACTGTCTACGTTAGCAGCGAATCTTAGTGTAGCAAATACATTTTTTTACTGCTAAGTTGAAGATGTCAGCAGTTAAAGACAATTCGTAAGATTAAGTCTCAAAAGTGACCTTGCAACTCCTCAGAATATAATTTTTACAGTGGTTGAAAGCACCAGTCTAGGAAACGGCTCTGGATTCTAACGACAGTTTTATCATTTACTAGCTACATGGCCTTGAGCAATTAACATCTCTGAGTCTCAGTTTCATTGTCTGTAAATAGAACAAATTGGTTCATAGAGTTGCTGTTATGATTATATGAGACAATACACGTTAAACACTTAGCACGGTGACAAGAGGTCAACAAATGGCAGGCATTAGTTATTAATTTCAATTAACTCATTTTTAATGTAGGTATTTATGGTTTGCAAAGTGTTACTGGCACATATGATCTCTTTTGATCCAACCTGGGGGTAGGAGCCTCATTTTACAGTGGAAGAAACTGAAGTCAAATGATTTACTCAAAGGCAATAATAAGTAGGAAAAGAAATTTGGGCTTAATTTGATTATACTAGGAACTAAAATGCAAAAGCTGAGAAGCTCTGCCTTTTAATGTTTTTTAAAAGTGTAGTTCAATATACATAAAATTTGCCATTTCAACCATGTTCAGTGGCATTAAATACATTCACATTGTTGCGTAATCATCATTCATCCCTAGAACTTTTTCTTCTTAAAAAAAATGTTTTTTTAATGTTTATTTATTTGTGAGACACAGAGAGACAGAGCATGAGTGGGGGAGGGTCAGAAAGAGAGGGAGACACAGAATCTAAGCAGGTTCCAGGCTCTGAGCGGTCAGCACAGAGCCTAACGCGGGGCTCGAACTCACAGACCCTGAGATCATGACCTGAGCTGAAGTCGGTTGCTCCACCGACTGAGCCACCCTAGTGCCCCTTTTTCTTCTTTTTAAATGAAATTCTATCAAACACAAACTCTCCATTCCCCCTCCCCCAAACTCCTGGGGATTTCTTTAGGTGCCTCAAGTGGAATCATGTGGTATTTGTCCTTTGTCATTGGCTTATTTCATTTAGAATAATATCTTCAAAATTCATTCTTGTTGCAGCATTTGTCAGAATTTCCTTCTTTTTTAAGGTTGAATAATACTCAGTTGTACTGCATACCACATTTTGTTTTATCCATTTATCTACTGACGGACATGTGGGTTGCTCCCCATGTTGTTTTGTTTTTTCAAAATATTGTCAACACTATTGATATTGGTTATCCAGTTTCTGATTATTCCCTCCTTTCCTTCTCTTTTATTCCATTTATTTTTTTTAAGAAAAAAAAATGCAAGTAAGTGGCTGATTTAATTCTGTAGAGTTGATATACACACCACTAAAACCACTTTATTTTGTGGCTATTTTTTGTAGGAGCTCCACCATGAATCAACACAAAGAAAAAGCCTGAAACTCAAATGAGCTTAATTTGATTTGGTAGGAGAGCAAACCATCAATTAAAATAATAAATTATGTGTAACATTATAAATCACATGCTATTTTAGGACTTTTAATAAGAGATAGTGGAAAGTTTCTGTTGTTGGACATTAAAAAAAGTTTTTCAGGGTTGACCTGGGAGGGAGAAAGAAACATTCCCTAAGTATCCAAAAGTCTGGAAAAACCTCAGTAGCTGACTCTCCTGAAGCCACTCCGGAGTGAGTGCTAACACACTACGAAGACCAAACTGCTGCTACACAAAGTAACCCTCGCCTTAACTGTGAGGCGAGATTAACCACAAGCTTCGGCACACAGTTCTCAGAAATAGCTCAACCACAATGGAAGGGAAGGACAACAACTCTAGAGACTTCAAAAAAACAGCGACGATTTAAGATGCGTTGAATCTTGTACTTTCGTGAATGAAGGTGTGCATGCAGGCTTGGATTTTGAGTACGTACTGGTACAAGGGGGAGATTAAAGGAAAAACAGCCAAATTACCGAAATCCAATTTTCTTAAATAATTCCAGACTACATACAGCCAGCGGGAGCGAAGAATGGACAGCCTTCTTTTGTGTGAACGGCTTTCGAAAAGAAACCTATAGTCACACGCAAATTTATTTGAAACAGCAACCCCAAAACAACAAACACGGGAGCTTGATCTCCAGCAGGACCCGCGAGGGAGTCCAAGCGTTTCCGGGCGACGGTTCAGAAGCTACAGACCGCCCTTCACCCAGAGCCTCCCGGCTCGGCTGTCACTCGGTCACCATAGACAGCTTCCAAGGGAGGACTGCACTTTCAGCTTCCCTCAAAGTTTACCAGAAATTCTCGCAAAGGGTTCTTTAATCCGCCCAACCCCCAGGGACACTTTCTGCCTCCAAGAACTGCTCCACAGCTTCACCCCACTATATCCCCGGTCACTTCGAGACCTCCAAGCACGCAGGGCGCGATTTCGCCCTCGCTTGCTTGCTTGCTCCCCAGGATGCTGGGGAAAGCGGCTCCGGAAAAGCAAACTTTCCGAGCTTTCGCGGAGGGCGGGAGGGCGCGCCGCGAACTCACAGCTGGTTGATGGCGTTCTGAGAGATGACCGCGTTGGCGGAGAAGTAAGGGATCATGTCGGGGCTACCGAGGTTGCAGGTGCAGGCGGGAGACGCCTTCCTCTCGCGGGCCAACGTGCTCAGGGTCATGAGGCCAGCTCAAGGCGCACAGCTCCGCATCCTGGCCCCTCCCGGCTCGGGCACGAGGCGATCGCGTAGGGTTCCGCGGGGCCAGAGGCGCGGGCAGCTCGGGAACCCCGCGTCCAAACTGGGCCCGCCGGGTCGCGCGGAGGCAGTCGCCGCAGCCCTAAGGCTCGGCTGTGGAGTCCCGGCGGCCGGGCGCCACCAACATCCCACCCCAACCCGCGTCCGGGGCGGGGCGCTGCGGCGGGGCGGGCTGAGTCCTAAGAGCAGAGAGGGTCGGCCCTTTCGGGCGCTCCGCCCCTGAGCTCGTGGCACCCACCGGATCACGCTGCGTGCCTCTCGGCGGGCGAGCGAGCGAGGGTCGGCACGAAGACATCGCGGCTCGTGTGAAGGAGTAAAGCGAGCCTGGGGTGAGCAAGAAAGGCTCGCGTTTCTTGGGACTGTTTCCACAGAAAGGTCCTGCTTATCTTGAACGGCTCTATACATTGAACCTCAAATCCCATTTTTCAAATGATCTTAAAACTTTAATAAAAGGTCGTACATTAACAAATGTAACGAATACTTACCAGCGGTTTTCTAGGTGTTAAGGGCTAGGGAAATTCGGTAAAAAACTAAATTTTTTTTTTAAAGCAAAACATCTGAAGTTATAATGGGGAAAAAAACCTATTTACATTGTCGATTACATCTGCTAACCCTTGTAAATAAATTTATAAAAGGCTTTCCTAACCATCCTCCAAACCAAGGACTCATAGCGTTAGCTGCACATATGAATCACCTGTGGGGATTTTAAACACTCCACTACCTGGCTACACCACAGACCAATCAAATCAGAGTCTCCTGAAGTTGGGATCCTAAACATCAATAATTTTTTCAAAGCTCCCCGGGTGATTCCAATACGCAGCTGTGGTAGACAGCTATTGTGCCAGATGATCTAGGAGAGGGAGACAGGCTAGAGAATATAACCTTACTTTACAGATGTGGAAATAAATATAAAGGGTCTAGCCAGATAACCTCATTTGTAAGTGACATCACTTAGATAGGAACCCTAGTTTTATGACTTCTGATCTAGGTTGGGCTTTTCCCACCAACCCTACATACCCTGATGCCTTCATGAGTTTAATCCTTTATCAATGTTGCTAACAACTCACTGAGCAATGCCTTTCACCTGACCAGGAACCAACTCTCTGAAAATCTCTTTTCTCTCCTGCATGCTATATAGTGGTTTACAAAAGGGGCTGACCTGGTGTGGGCACTCAGTAAAGTTAGCTCCCTTACCTCTTGCCCTTCCAGTCTCATCAGAACAAATATTTTCAGGTATGAGCATTTTGTGCTTTTTGAATACTTGACTAAACTATATATCAATAGAACTGTCAGGAGTTCTAGAGCTGGAAATTAATAATTTTAAAAAATGATTTCACTATTCTATTACCAGACAAGAGAGACTAAAATGAGGAAGAAGTCACTTTAAGACTCAACATATGCTAGAATCAAGAAGAAATATGTCTTTAATTTTTATTTTTTAATGTTTATTTTAGAGAGAGAGACAGAGCAAGCAGGGAGGGCAGAGAGAGGGAAACACAGAATCAGAAGCAGGCTCCAGGCTCTGAGCTGTCAGGACAGAGCCCAACCTGGAGCTCGAATCCACGAACCAAGAGATCATGACCTGAGCTGATGTTGGTTGCTTAACCTGAGCCACTCAGGCGCCCCTTAATTTTTTTTTAATGTTTACTTATTTTTGAGAGAGAGAGAGAGAGAGAGAGAGAGAGAGAGAGAGAGAGAGAGAGAGAACGAGCGGGGGAGGGGCAGAGAGAGATGGAAACACAGAATCCAAAGTAGGCTCTAGGCTGTCAGCACAGAGACCAACGTGGGGCTGGAACTCAAGAACTGTGAGGCACCCCAAAATGTGTCTTTGTTTTATATATACAATTTTTCAGATCTCTTTTTCTATTGGGAGGTTTGGCAATTTTCTAAATACTAGTAATTAAATAATCTAAATTATACATTCTATGCCTAAAACCAGAAACTCTTTTGTTAGTTTATCCTTCCATAAAACTTAAAAGTTGCTGGGGTGCCTGAGTAGCTCAGATGGTTAAGTGTCCAACTCTTGATTCCGGCTCAGGTCATGATCTCATGGTTGGTGGGATCAAGTTCCTAGTCAGGCTCTGAGCTGACAGCACAAAGCCTGCTTGGGATTCTCTCTTTCTCTTTCTCTGCTGGTCCCCAGCTTGTGCCAATGTGGGCGAGCATGCTTGCACTCTTTCTCAAAATAAATAAATAAAGATTTTTTTAAAAAACCTTATGGGGCGCCTGGGTGGTGCAGTCGGTTAAGCGTCCGACTTCAGCCAGGTCACGATCTCACGGTCCGTGAGTTCGAGCCCCACGTCAGGCTCTGGGCTGATGGCTCAGAGCCTGGAGCCTGTTTCCGATTCGGTGTCTCCCTCTCTCTCTGCCCCTCCCCCGTTCATGCTCTGTCTCTCTCTATCCCAAAAATAAATAAAAAACGTTGAGAAAAAAAAATAATTTTTAAAAAACCTTAAAGTTGTTGCCCAGGGATTTGAAATATTGCAAACTCATACTGGAAATAGGATTTAAGTTTCCTATGGATCTGATAATAGGAAAGAACCAGTTGGCAAGTGAAGAGTTAATGAAAGGTCTGGAGTCCAGTGCATCATCGTCTTCATCCATCTCTAGTAAGGAAAATGTTTGAAAGATTTATTCAGGCTGTGTCAGCAGGCACCCAAATGGCAGTGTAAGAAAAAAAAAAAATCTGCTGATACACCCCAAAATAAATTGCTTTAAATATCTGGCAAAGTTGCCAGTTTGAAACTTCTTCCAGGCTGTAATTTATTATAGCCTCCTGGCAGTGATCAAAAAAAAAAACGCAGCAGGCTCTTTAGAAGAGCACTGTTAAGGTGAGTCCAGTTCCTTTCATGACAGCAGAGATGGGATTTTATGGAAGTCAATACTAACTGATGCTGCTTACGGAAGACGATGGAATGTCATCTGTATCTGTCTGAAAAAGAAGTCAGCAGGAAATGTATCGTACTCAATTCACACTTAATATCTCTGGCATTTAAAAAACGCTAAAGATAAGGATTTCATAAATATGTATATCTGTCTTTTATAGATAGGTTCCTATAGTGACACTCCAGAAGTGCATAGTCCTTTGTTTCCCCTCAAAAGACCTCTGCCAGTGCCTCTTCAGCGAAGTCTATTTTAACACCCCCATCTAGGCCTTTTCAAAAGCTTTCAAAGTTAAATTCTTGCTTTGAACTGTAATATAGGAAATTGGGAAAGTGCTACAACGTGCCTCATAGGTTTTTAAGAAAAAAATGGAATCATCTTTGCAAAGTGAGGTACCTTTAAGGGAATAGATCTTTCTGCTACTGTTTTTAAAAGTTTAACAAATTCCTTTTCTTTTCACAATCTGCAGAGTGTCAAAATGTCAATCAATTTAGTTTCAGCTCAATTTAATCCTTTACTCTACACTGTCAGAAAACAAGGCTCTAGGGAGCAAGCTCTCTGTACCCAAGCTTCTAGGAATTCAAAAATGATTCTAAATTAGACTGAGCGACGTGAAATAAATGAAGCTAGTTTTCTACTCCACATGAAGTCCAAAGGGGCTTTTAAAAATGTGCACAAAGGCCCCGAAGAAAAATTGTTGCATTTCTTCACACTCCTGTTTGAGTTAGAAGATTTAAAATAAATTTTGTCATGTCATTTGCTGACCGTTTCAAGGCTCAGAAATATGAATATTCTATAATTTTTTTTAAATTTTTTTTTCAACGTTTATTTATTTTTGGGAATGAGAGAGACAGAGCATGAACGGGGGAGGGGCAGAGAGAGAGGGAGACACCGAATCCGAAGCAGGCTCCAG